TTTCTCATTTTTCATCCATAACAATGTGGATGAAAAATGAAAAATACGACTGTTATCCATCACATCGTCATCAATTTTGAATTTCTATCTCTTGTGCGGGGCTCAATAACGACTATATTTTTCATTTTTATTCTATAATAATGAGAATTAAACGGGCCCCATGACCTATCAAGATGTGATCATGACATGTGCTTTTTCGAATTCCTTCTTATATAGAACACATTATTTGAAGAGTTTATAGACATTATTAACAATTATTTCTTACTAACCGAGAGTTGATTACTGATTAGAATGGGTATTCCTGTCAAGTGTGCTCAATTTCAAAGATTGGATAGTCCAACCAACAATGCAATTCTTGTTTTATTTGATCTCAAATTTGAAATAGGTCATATTATGGGTTGACCCATTGTAAAGTGATTAGGACACGGACTTCGTAAACAACTGTTACTTTTTTCTTAATTGAGAGGTGATTAGAACTTGCACTCCGAATCACATGCATTACGGACATCATAGGCAGATGTTACTTTGAAACCAACTTTATAGGCAAATGTTACTTTACATAATATAATTTGATTAGAATGAAAGCAAACAAGCTCTAATTTTTCGATCATATTGGAAAAGTGATAAACTTTGCTCCCTCACAAGAGGGGGTTTGTGCGAAACAAAAAAATTGTAGTCCCCTCCTATTGTGAGGAGGCTATCATTCGGAGTGTGAATCTCAAATGTACACCCAGCAAAACCCTAAAATTAAGGACCAATTTAAAATTTTGTTGCGATTTTAAGGATGGTGTATTTAGAGATGACAAAATGGCTCACCGGCTGGGATGGCCCGAAAAAAGCCTGAGTCCCATTTTGGGCAGTCGGCTCGAGCCCGACCGGCCGTGAGCCTAAAAAAAATTTTTAAAAACTTGCCTATCACTTGTTTTTTAAAAATTTTTTCTTTTAATTTTAGCCGTAAATTTTTTATATGTTAATATTTAATTATTATTTATAATACGTATAAATTGTCCAAATTTTTAATTCGTTAAAAAAATTTTAATTTGTCACGATTTTTTTTTAAAAAGGCGGCGCGGGCCCGGCTCGCTAAGGCCCGAGCCGAAAGCTTGGGTAGATCCTTAATTTTTTTGCCGAGCTTTTGCCCGACTCGACTCGATTGGTTGACACCTCTAGGTGTATTAATCTGAATCCTATGTGTTTGGTAAATTTC